TTAGGTTATTCTGTTTGAATTATAATTTTAAATGTAATAATGCAGACTAACAATACAAATAGTTTAAATTCAAATAAACTGGTTATTAATCAGTGGCGGCTGGTCAATAGGGGGCGTTAGGGCGCCGCCCCACCACTATTTTTGGTATTCAAAAAAAAATTAAAAAATGAAAATAACCAAATAAAATGTTATGTTTCGAATATATATATATATGTGTGTGTGTGTGTGTGTGTGTGTTTATTCTGCTTATCAGAAGATAAGCAGAATAAATAATTTAGAGTTATTGATGTATAAACTTCCATTTTACTCATGTGCTTTTTCGTGATGAGTCACTTCCGGGTCACGAGCGGTTCGGCGCCCCAGATTCCCATAGACAAGTCATTGTAAGATTTTGGACATGCGCAGTAAGTCCCCAATGCAAAAGAATAGAGTGGCCTGTGGCGCAGCTTGTCACCGCCCCACAGCTAACCTCTGGTAGTGGGTCCACCCTGTCGATGACTCGACGTCATATTTATGCAGTAGCCGGCAGGGCTTCAGGAGGAGGATTTTGGAGAACAACAAACAAGAATGAAGGATAAAACAACACTGTAAGTCTCTTATATCTAAACCTTTTCAAAGCAGAACATATGAGGAGAAACTTAAAGTGAAGTAGCTTGGACCGGAAAAGCCAAACATAATAAAAATTGAGCAAGAACGTGGTTTAGCATTAAGGCTTGGCTAACTACATGCTGTTAGTCAAGTTGTAACAACTGCTCAAAAAGGTAAAGGGAACAGTAACACATCCTAGATCTGAATGAGTGAAATATTCTCATTGAATACTATATTCTAAACAAAGTTGAATATGCTGACAGCTTGTGAAATTGTCAATCAGTGTTACTTCCTAAATGGACAGTTTGATTTCACAGAAGTTTGATTTACTTAGATTGTGTTGGTGTTCTCTAATGGTGAACACAACTTAATATAGTATGAAAATGTTTTTGTTTAGTTTTTTATAAATTACTATTGTATGAATTTATTCTTTAAAAAGAGGCAAATATTATAAGATTTTTTTTCTTCTTTCTGCTGCCTTTTATTTTATTTATATTTTTTCTTCTGTTGTGCATAGTTTATTTTGTTTTTTAATAAAATGAATACATTTTTAAAATAAACATAATGCAATAATTAACTTTAGAGCTGCAACAATTTGTTGCTATTAAAATAACATCGTTTTCATATTAAATATATATTAGAAAGCTCACTTGCAGCCATCTCCATATTGAATTAAATTTGTGCATTTATTGTTTTAGGTTTGTGAAACCATCTTGAGCAATTCACAAGCATCTGATCAGAGCTACAGTGCTGCAGGCAGAGAGATTCCTGCAGGACAGTTCTCTGAAGCAGCTCTGGACCATGGGGGCTCACCCAATGCTGAACAGGACCAAGAAGTCTGATCTAGTTCAGGAGCTGCAGTGGTGCTGTGGCTCTGTACCAGCTCTTCATGAGGAACAATATGCAGGACACCTTCAGAGACTTACTCTGCTGAATATTGTCATCACATCTCCTCTGATCACAGCTGAATCTGAGAGGAGCTTCTCAACACTGAAGAGAATCCAGACTTTCCTCAGGTACACAACATCACGTCTCACTGCATTGACCATGCTCGAAGAATCTTGTTAAAACATCCCTGACTTTAACCAGTCATGAAGAAATTTGCTTCTCAGTAACAGAAGGGCAAATTTTATGTATTTAAAAAAACACTACGTGACATTGTAATGCTGTTCTATGAATTGGATTTGTTTAATAAATACACTGGCGTGATACAACTTAGTATGTTTGATTGCTTTCTAAGATATGTCTATTTTGGAGTTGTACCCCCGGAGAAAAATCCACCAGCCGCCACTGTTATTAATGCTGTTGTATAAGACTACAATATTAATTTGATCTAAAACTACAAATCAACTTAAATTATACATTAATAGAAGTTGAATTTGTCTTGGTATAAAATGAACTTTATAGACTGTTATTTTTTATCAGATTTTATTTTGTAGAGATTTATTTAGCACATAAGCTATGCTATTTTCTCCAAAGTGGGGGGCAAAGGAAAACTGGAGGACTAGAAAGAGATGAATATGATTTAGATTTTTATTTCTGTGACTGTATACGACCCACAGGAGACATGGCATTAACAGCAGTCGTCATTTCATTCCTTGGCTTTAGCAGGTCCTTCCACAGCTGACTTGGCTAAAAATGATTAAAAAAAATTCTGGATCTGACAGCGGGACTTCAATCTTCGAACTTGTGAAGTTCTTCTTTTTACTCATTTTCTGTCATTTTAATGAATGAACACTTCCTAGTATGTGGGGCAAGAAGCATAGCCTTATATGGTGTTTTTGGGGTGGTAATTATGCTAATCTCCTCTCCTCATGCACGAGCACCTGAATACGCAATCATAATGTTTACGCTGCTGATTTACACCTTTTCCTGAAGATAGAAGCGTTTGCTGAATCTGACGTGGCATGGCGAACAAAAGAGAAATTTAGGATAAGAAAATGAAAATGTTCTTGCATGAGGCCCATTGATTATATTGGTTGTTTATTTGCTATGGCAGTCAAACTTCAGTGGAGCAGAACGGAAACTCATCTAGTGTAAATTAGGGGTAAGTGTTCAGGACTTTAACAGATTAAAATGTCTCAACTATCCTTGGAATAGCAGATGAAAAGAAAACTGTACAAGTACAGCCCAGCTTGATCATACAGTAGGATGAAGTCCTCTACTGTAACAGTCGTCAAACAAAAAGCAATCAACTCTCCTGATTAAAAAAAACACCTTAAGTTGCATTGTAGAAGACTCCACAGTGCTGACAGGGATGCTATTCAAAATGTGGTATGTTGGGAGAATCAACAAGTGAAGAAAATAGTTTTATTCCCCGCAGCTTTGTATTATTCTATTATTCCACAGCTTTTCAGACCAATGATGTGAAGTTTCATTTGGGACGCCATGGCTTCAGACCGGATGGTGAAGGTTGCTTAGCAACTAGGTACAGAGAGAAGATCATTAAATTGCACAGACACTCACTCAGCCCTTCATCATGTATCTGAGAATTTGTTGGCCCTACCGCAGTGAATCACAATCTGCCCTCAGATGAACTTGACTGTGCAGCATCACATTAATAGAGAAGGTATATGTTACTTCAGATCATTGAAGAAATTTTATGAAGCAAAATATTCTACATAAGAAGTTACTGCCTCAAGGCAAATACTGTGCAACACTCAATGACTCTTTTATCCAATAATCTGTCATTTCACTGTATCACTATTACCAAGTCAATACTACTACTACTACTACTACTACTACTACTACTACTACTACTACTACTACTACAGGATGAAGTTGATCATTTTATTTATCACTGTCTAGTTTTATCACACTACTCAAAATGCCTTTAAGTAAACAAAAAAAATACTCAAACTAACCAACATACTTTCTGTTTTTGTTAAAGTCTAAAGAGGCAATGTGCCATTTTCATAAGCAAACAGCATTAATCAAACAATGATTACCTCATCTCAGGTAACATTAAGCTGTCAATAAAGAAGGTGTAGAGATCAGGATTTCCGTCTTTGGCTCACCTTTGATCTCGACGAGTTTGTCTGAAAACAGCTAAACTGAGAACATTGCACTGGAAGTTAAACGTAGTTTTAAGTGACTTTATTACAGACCACATATTGAGATATTACACACCACATATTGAGATAAGACAACCACAACAATTTCTAAGAGCTCTCAGAGAAACGGCAGGAAAATCTTAAGCCTACGTCACCTGGAGACTGCATGTGTCCATAGTTCCAGCCTGTCTGAATCTGTTTCTGTAGTCAAAAGCTATTATACCCATTTAGACAACATCCAGAGCTCTGCTCTGTTACTTTTCAAGGACAAGCTGCTGGGTTCTCCATCACCTGATGTATGGTTCTTATCTAACTGGGATGGAATGTTTTTATGATTCCTCCTGACTTCTGTCTAAACCACTAACTGCAAAGGATTAACAGTTTATAAGAATGATTAATACTGACTATAAAATTATGAATTATTCATACTATTCTGCAATGACTAAAGCTGTTTGCGCTGTCTCTCAGACAGAGCTTCAAGTTGTAAACAGACATCTTGTGTTTTCTTACTTGTTAGCAAGATATATCATGTACTAATGACAGGATCATAATGAAACTCTCAGGAAATAAGTGAACTAATAACTTGAACTAATTAACTTTTTGAGTCAATCCCACTAAAGATAACCATAAAATGAGGGACTACACATAAAAACCACAAAGATGGCTCCCTCTCTGCCAGTCAGAGACCCAGGAAGTTACATAAATCAACATAGGTCATGGTTGTTTAAGCATTACTCTATTTGCTGCTTTTATATGGACAATGCTTCTCACCAGAGACCTGCGCTATTTGTAGTCCTCTTAAAGCTAACAGCAGAACAAAAAATCCCCACAAGACACCCAGTGAACGCTCTGTGTTCACGAGGAAGAAAAGGCCAGTTCCAGAAAAATCACAGCAGCCTTGAGACAAAATATTTTAACAGGCATTTTGAGACATTTTCACACAAATTAACCTTTAAAATTGTTTGTGAACTACAGCCACTTTTTTTGAACACAGCTTTTTGCTGTATTCAAACTCATATAATTAAATGTTTTTCTATGTAACATTATGCCTAAGTTCAATTCTTGTGAGTCATTTCTAAAGAATACAGGCAATATTAGCTTAATTGTTGCAGTAAAAGTGCAGCATAGTATTTGTGCCAAGTGACAGGTAACATACGCCAGATAACCCTCACCCAGAAAATCTTTTTCCTTTTGTACTGTGCAAAATTGGCAAATACTTACAAAAATGTAAGATATTTTAAACAATTTGTTATCATTTAAGCACAAGCAATAAGTTTTAAGGTTAAATATATAATTAGATGTTATCAAGTTTAACAAAGTTGTCAATGTTTGTGCAGCACAGTGACAGACTCGGAGACGGAGGTAAAATGTGTTTTTATTTACAGGTGGTGGTTCCTCAGGACTCAGTTCTGGAAGGGAAGAGGTTCTAGGTGAGTATTGGAGCTGTAAGTAGATAGTGAGTATTTTGTAGAATGAGAGATTTTGTTCTTGTTCTTACGGGAATAGAGTGAAGACTCAGTGCTGAGGGGGAGGTCCAGGGATTCCAGGTGAGTATTTACAATCCAGTTTAGAGGTGAGTAGTGTTGGTTCCACACAGAGGCAGACAGGCAGCGCAGCAAAAGGGCAGGTGAGTGGTTCTCTTTCAGTTTCTTCAGGATCACAGAGGGATGATCGTCCAGGTAAGTCTCGAGTGGCATCTGAACATAGAAATTCACAAGGGTTAGAAAAACTCTAGGAAGTTAAATTCACAGAGGGGTGGAGTAGCTTTACCAGAGGCAAGCAATGCATCAGCAAAGAATTGATCCTCAGATCCACCTTATGAACCCAACACGCTGATGAGCCAGATCTGCAGCAGCTGTGGCCACTTGGAGGTGACAGTCAATCCGGAACCAGGTAACAACAGATAGGTGAGAACATGAAAAACACAAAATGCCTCAGATGTAGCTCTCAACACAATCCTAGTAATACAATATCCACTAATAAATTCTCTCAGTGAACATTTTATTTTTAAATACACCTGAACACAAGTTTGTTTTAATTACATTATGCATGCATGCATGCATGCATGCATTAACACCCCCATCAAGATGTTAAATCTAACCTAAACAAATTTAAGATTAAATGACTACATGATTTTTTTTGTTAGGATTAACATTATTTAACTCCCCCTCTTTTTTGCTGCTAGTTGACATTTTGTCAAATCATAGATTTCTCCTCTAAGAGGAGAAATTGAGTAAAACTGCAATGGGCCAATAAACGATTTTATGTTGCTGTTGCTTAATAGCTAGGCTTTAAAGTTAATATACTATACAAGGGCTATTCAACTGGCACACCACAGGCTGGGAGACCTCCGGCCAACCGGCCAATCTAGTAAGAATAAGAAAAATATTCAGTTCTTTATTTACTTTCATTTCACTTTAAAGCAGCCAGCATGGTTTCTACGGTAACATATTTAAACACCAGGACATCAAAATGGTTGTCTAGACCAGTGATTCCCAACCGGGGGTACGCGTACCCCTAGTGGTACGTGAACACGTTACAGCGGGTACGTGGAAACATTTCCCAGATATGTAAAACATAAATAAAAATAGGGCTGGTTTGGAATGTAATGCTTTCTGAAAACCCAAATGCAAAATAAACTGTGTTAATCAACCAAAAGAGCTTTAAAAAGCACAATGAACAAATGAAATGCTGGAGCAGGTGTTGCACTATGAAACTGCACATCGCTCCACTGCAGAGAGAGGGAGAGAAAAAAAAGGCTTGGTTGCGCTTTGGGTAGTCACGTAGGGCGCACGCACCCTCGTCAAGGTGTAGGTGTGTTGGCGCTTATGTTGTTGTAGATTTCTCCAAAAGGACATGAGGAAGTTGTAAATAAGTGAGCAAAAGCGTGACGAACCACCAAGCTGTTTGAATGTTGCATGGCGCGTGCGGCTTTTCAAAATTTCGGAGGTGCACGATCGCATGCCAGGACAGTGTGCGTGGACGTGGACAGGGGGCCGGGGATGCCCCCCCATCCCTACGACTGGCACAGACTTTGACGCTTCATAACAGACAACAGAGGATAGAGCGCCAAAACAGTGGTAGTCAAATATGGATAAATGGCTGAAACGTCCGGGTGCTTTTCATTCAGAAGAGGGTTCAACGGAGTCCAAAAAAAAAAAAAAAAATCAAGAAAGAGGCCAAACTTAAATCTAGGGCTAGGCAGTACAGTGAAAACTATATTTGTATGGATTCACCTCTAGGTCTGCAGACCCACCGCAGCCACTGTGCTTCTTTGCGGAGAAATCCTGGCTAATGGATCAATGAAGCCAGCCCATCTACAGCGACACCAGAGCACCAAACATCCAGGAAGTGTCGGTAAAACAGAGACGTTTTATAAACGAAAGATGTCAGAATTCAGGTCAGGTCGGACAACAATGATGAAAGCCACGTCTGTGTCAAGCAAACCACTGGAGTCGTCTTATGCTGTATCTCTGCTTGTAGCTAAAGCAAAAAAGCCTCACTCAATTGTTGAAGAACTAATTCTCCCTGCAGCGACTGTTATGGCGGAAATTATGATGGACAAGAAAGCAGCTGACACACTCAAGAAAGTTCCTGTGTCAAACAACACTGTGTCCCGTCGGATCAATGACATGTCGGTAAATATTATCGGACAAGTGGTGAACAAAATAAAACAAGCTGGACAGTTCGCTTTGCAGCTGGATGAAATGACTGATGTGAGTGGAGATGCTCAACTTATGGCTTTTGTTCGTTACAAAGATGTGTCAGACATAAAGGAGCATATTTTATTTCGTAAAAGGCTGCTAGGAAAAACAACTGGGGAAGAAATGTTCTAGGTCATAGACAGCTTTTTCAAAGAACACGATCTGCAGTGGAGCACCTGCAGCCACGTCATTGCTGTGTGAAGGGACTGTTTGGACACATAAAAATGGTAAATCACAACATTAAATGGATGCATTGTATTATTCATCATGAAGCACTGGCTAGTAAGAGTTMGTCCTGACTTGAGTGCTGTTATGGATGATGCTGTGAAGATAATAAACTTCACAGACTGTTTGAAACTCTTTGTCATGAGAACGGCGCAGAGCACGAACAGCTGTTGCTTCACACTGACATGCGCTGGCTGTCACGTTGGAAAACACTATTGAGACTTTATGAACTTTGCAGTGAAGTTTGCGTTTTTAAAGCAACATCTACATCCTCTTGCTGTGGTGTTTGATGATGCCAAGTGGGTGGCACACCTGGCATATTTTGCTGAGGTGTTTACCAAACTTAACGAGCTCAACCAATCACTCCAGAGAAAGGACTCACATCCTGAAAATGTATGACAAAGTGAAATGATTCACTAAAAAGCTCATACTTTGGGGGAGGAAAAGTGATGAGGGAGATGTAAGCTGTTTCCCACTACTTGAGCCCCATCTWTCTACCAGTGATGTTGCCAGGGGTCCAGTGATCGAAGTGGTGCAAGCACATCTGTCCAAACTCAGAACTGATTTCAGCCAGTATTTTCAGGACATTGAGGAAAAGTCAGAAGGCCTGGATTGGGTGAGGGACCCATTTGTTGTAAGTAAGAGCAGCAACAACCTTGATGCAAAGCTGCAGGAGCATCTGATAGATTTATCATCTGATCGTGGGCTGAAAATGGCATTTGCTGAGAAGACATTGACTGAGTTTTGGTGCAATGTGGAGAAGAAGTATCCTGAACTGGGAAAACATGCATTGTTTGAAATTCTGCCTTTTGGGTCTACTTATATGTGTGAGGTGACCTTCTCAGCTTTGACACACATCAAAACCAAGCTGAGAAACAGACTGGATGTGGAGAACAGCTTRATAGCTGACCGTGCACGTCACTGAAGCAAGGCCGGATTAACCATATGGGCAATTGGGCAATTGCCCAGGGGCCCACGGTCTCCAAAGGGCCCTGGGCAGTGAAGGCACAGACACAACGGATGTGGGATATGCGTGGACATGTCTCCCCGCACTTCCTGCATCTGCGCTCTCTGTCCCCTCACTTTTTAACAGCTGTTTTATCCATTATTAACATATATATGGTAATGCATTTTTCTGAGCCGTCTTTGAACGCACCATAAGCGTGTGCAAGCTACTCCTGCAGATGAGATGACGGATAGGAGCTGCTGTGCTGAGCAGAGCCTCGCGGTGTAAAGAGCAACTTAAACTTTGCATAGGTTTTACCAAAAAAAACCATGTAAGTTGAGTCATGCTGTTGGAGGCCGATAATGTTAGCTAAATGAAGAGTTACACATTATATAATGTTTAGCTAGTTAACATGATTAGTTGTTGTTACCTGTTACACCCCTTGCCAAGCTAAACCCAGTTGTCTTTCATTTCTGTGCARAAGTTGTGCTGGCTGCTTTCCACATATTTAAAATAAATCTTCATTGCCATAGAACACAATCAGGGAGGAGACAGACCAGATAGCCTACAGCAGCAGGGATCATAATGCAGACTTTTCTCAGGTAAGGAGAAATTTTTGAAGTGGAACAGTCTTTAAAAACTGGTGTACAGTTTGAAGTCTCTACTTTTGACATAATTTGTAACACAGTCTCAGAAAATGAACCACAGAAAGATGGAGGTTAAATCACGACTGGATCACGTTGTTGTG